CCTCCCTCCCTCCCTCCCTCCCTTCCTTCCTTCCTTCCTTCCTTCCTTTTTTTATTTTAAATTTATTGATTTTAGAGAGGAAGGGAGTGGGAGAGAAAGAGAGAGAAAAATCAGTGATGAGAGAGAATCATTGATCAGCTGCCTCCTGCACTGGGATCAAGCCTGCAACCCAGGCATGTGCCAGGAATTGAACTGTGACCTCCTGGTTCGTAGGTCAATGCTCAACTAGAGGCATGCTGGCCGGGCTTCATTGTTTCCTACCTACTCATTGGGTTCTCCTGGCGATCAAATAGATCCTTATTAAATAGATGAAGCACTTAAAAATAAAACTCTATGAAAGCACAGTAAGTTCCCATGATGAATTTGTGTTTAATTTCTTTAATCAGCCAAGATATTTATTTCTAGGAAATTGACAGGGGGATGAAATTACCAAACTTCGTGTGAGCAAAAGAACCTTGAAGACATTATGCTGAGCAAAATAAGCCAGATCAAAAGAATCAGTCCTGCATGATTTCATTTCTGTGAGCTACCTGGAATAGTCAAATTTCTAGAGACAGAAAGCAGAAGGGAGGAGTTTGCCAGGGCCTGGGGAGAGAGGATTAGGAAGTTAGTGTTTAATGGGAACAGAGTTCTGTGGGTGGATGGTGGTGGTGGTTTGCACCACAGTGTGAATGTATTTAATATCACTGAATTGTATACTTACAAATGGTTAAGGTGGCAAATTTTGTGTTACATGTATTTTGCTACAATGGAAAAAGCTTGTCTATTGCCATAGTCTAATGCCAGATCCAGCTCTGGTGTCCATCTAAAAGAGGTGGGAAGAAAGCCTAACACTCCATCTTTACATTGTCATCAAAGTTAAGTGACGTTAGGACATGGTGTCACCAACGTGGCTTCAAAAATATTGTCACCTCCACCTGGGACATCTTATAGATAGTATATGTTCCTGTTAGGGTAATAGTGTGACAGGGACTTTTGAGTTTGTGCTAGTAAGCCTTACATTTGTTCTTCTTAGAAGATTAAATTGTTCAACTTTAGGGAACCAGCTGTCTTAGGAATGGAGAGTTCTGTGGTCAGGCACAGTAATTACCTTCTGGCATGTTTTTGGTCTTCCAGAGCCACTGCCAAAGGATTCCCACTGTCTCCAAAGAATGTGAAGGTGCCATATCCGGAGTCTCCTGTGCAGAACCGCGTAGCCACCCTTTCCGGCCAGGAAACACCCAAGAAGAAAGCTGACAAAGAGAAGAGCAACAAGGAACGGGAAGGGGCCCTGGCTCAGCAGGCAGCTGGCCCACTCAGGGTGGAAGCCTCGGAGAAGCGCCTGGTGGAGAAGCATGCCTCTGAGAAGAACGTGGCTGCAGGAGGGAAGGCCGAGAGCAGCGCAGGTAGGCCCTCCTTGCCCATGCCACTCCAGCCTTGGCTTTCCCATCCTGTTTGTCCTTTGACCTGGTCCACGATCCACATGGGAGTCTCGTGTCTGGGGGAGAGAGGGAAGAGGGGGTCATCATATAGAAAACTGCACGTCCCGTGCTCTCTAGGCTTGCACGTTGCCCCTCAGTCCTGTCCCCTGCTGCATCGGGCCAGCATCAGCACGTCCCACGGAGAGACTCTTCCTTTAGTCCTATAAGCTGCTGTGAAGGATGCAGCGAGTTCACCCAGATGGGCGCAGGGGTGGTGGCTGCTGTGGGACCTGCTAGTGACCCTATCTCTCCTCCTAGCCTTTCCACTTCTCTCCACTGTGAAATATATTCCAGTCATAGCCGCCCATTGCAGTGTCTCTGCTCAGTGGCTAATTGTGCCAGTCCTGCGGCATTTCCCATCCCCCACTGGGTAGGATCTTCCCTTTCAAGTGGCAGCTGCCAAGTGAGTGTGATCAATTTCATTTCCCTTGATCCCTCTGGTGCAGCTTCAGGGAAGCCTATTGCAGGTACCACCAATGCAGGAGAGGCCGCAAAGATCCTGGCAGAAAAGAGACGCCAGGCCCGGCTGCAGAAGGAGCAGAAGGAACAGGAGAGGCTGGAAAAGATGGAGCAAGACAGGTATGGAGGTACTCAGGGTTTGTTTGTTTTTTAATTTCTCTTTATTGCTGAAAGTATTACAGATGTCCCCACTCTTTCTCCATTGACCCCCTCCACCCCACACCCAACCCCTCCCCAGGCCTTCACAACCTTATTGTCTGTGCCCATGGGTTATGCATATATGCATACAGGTTCTTTGGTTAATCTCTCCCCACCTCTGCCTTCCCTCTGAGATTGATCAGTCTGTTCCATGCTTCTATGTCTCTGGATTTATTTTGTTCATCAATCTATTTTGTTCATTAGATTTCACATATGAGTGAGATCATGTGATACTTGTCTTTCTCTGACTGACTTATTTCTTTTATATATATTTCTTTATTGATTTCAGAGAGGAAGGGAGGAGAGAGAGATAGAAACATCAATGATGAGAGAGAATCATTGATTGGTTGCCTCCTACACACCCTCTACTGGGGATCGAGCCCACAACCCAGGCATGTGCCCTTGGCCAGAATTGAACCTGGGACCCTTCAGTCCACAGGCTGATGCTCTATCCACTGAGCCAAGCTGGCTAGGGCTGACTGACTTATTTCACTTAGCATGATACTCTCCAGGTCTCTCCATGCTCTCTCAAAGGGTAAGAGATCCTTCTTTTTTATTGCTGCATAATATTCCATGATGTATATGTACCACAGCTTTTTAGTCACTCGTCTATTGATGGGCACTTGGGCTGTTTCCAGATCTTAGCTATTATAATTTGTGCTGCTATGAACATAGGGGTGCATATATTCTTTCTGATTGGATTTAGGATTCTTAGGATATACTCCTAGAAATGGGATCACTGGGTCAAATGACAGTTCCATATTTAATTTTTTGAGGAAACTCCACTCTGTTTTCCATAATGGCTGTACCAGTCTGCATTCCCACCAGCAGTGTACTAGGTTCCCTTTTCTCCACATTGTTGCCAGAACTTGGCATTTGTTGATTTGTTGATGATAGCCATTCTGACGTGTCTGTGTGCATCTCTCTGATGATTAGTGACTTTGAGCACTTTTTCATATGTCTCTTGGCCATCTGTATGTCCCCTTGGGAGAAGTGTCTATTTAGGTCCTTTACCCATTTTTTAATTGGATTGTCTTCTTTTTGTTAAGTTGTATGAGTTCCTTATATATTTTGGAAATTGACCCCATATCAAATACAAATATGTTCTCCCATGCAATGGGCTTTCTTGTTGTTTCGTTGATGGTTTCTTTTGCTGTGCAAAAGCTTTTTATTTTGATGTAGTCCCATTTGTTTATTTTCTCCCTAGTTTCTTTTGCCCTAGGTCCTAGGGCCTAGGAGATGTATTCATAAACAGATTTTTATGAAAGATATCTGAGATTTTACTGCCTATGGTTTCTTCTAAAATTTTAATGGTTTAATGACATATTTAAGTCTTTCATCCATTTTTAGTTTATTCTTATGTATGGTGTAAGTTGGTCTAGTTTCTTCTTTTTTTTTGCATGTATCTGTCCAATTTTCTCAGCACCATTTGTTGAAAAAACTATCTTTACTCCATTGTATGCTCTTGCCTCCTTTGTTAAATATTAATTGAGCATAATGCCTTGGGGATGATTCCTGGGGTCTCTGTTCTGTTCCATTGATCTGTCCCATTTTTAGTTTATTCTTATGTATGGTGTAAGTTGGTCTAGTTTCTTCTTTTTTTTTGCATGTATCTGTCCAATTTTCTCAGCACCATTTGTTGAAAAAACTATCTTTACTCCATTGTATGCTCTTGCCTCCTTTGTTAAATATTAATTGAGCATAATGCCTTGGGGATGATTCCTGGGGTCTCTGTTCTGTTCCATTGATCTGTCTGCCTGTTTGTGTGCCAGTACCAGGCTGTTTTGAGTACGATGGCTTTGTAGTATAACTTAATATCCAGTATTGTGATTCCTCCAACTTTGTTCTTCTTTCTCAAAATTGCTGCAGCTATTCAGCATCTTTTTGGATTCCATATAAATTTTTGTAGTGTTTGTTCTAGATGTATGAAATATGCTGTTGGTGTTTTAATAGGGATTGCATTGAATCTATAGATTGCTTTAGGTAGTGTGGACATTTTAATGATGTTAATTCTACCAATCCATGAATATGTTATATTCTTCTACTTGTTTATATCTTCCTCTATCTCTTTTCAATGTCTTGTAGTTTTCTGAGTACAGGTCTTCTATCTCCTTTGTTAAGTTTATTCCTAAGTATCTTAATTTTTTTTTTGTTGCAGTGGTAAACAGGATTGATTTTTTTCATTTCTCTTTCTGAGAGTTTATTATTGGTGTATCAAAATGCCATTGATTTCTGGCTGTTAATTTTGTTTCCTGCTATGTTGTCGCATTCATTTAAGTCCTGTAGTTTTTTTTAAAAAAAAAAATATATATATATATATATATATTATTTTACAGAGAGGAAGGGAGAAGGAGAGGGATAGAGAGTTAGAAACATCGATGAGAGAGAAACATTGATTCAGCTGCTTCCTGCACACTCCCTACTGGGGATGTCTTGACTGGAATCGAACCTGGGACCCTTCAGTCCGCAGGCCGACGCTCTATCCACTGAACCAAACCGATCAGGGCAAGTCCTGTAGTTTTTTATGGAGTCTTTAGTGTTTTTTATGTATAATATCATGTCATCTGCGAAAAATGACAGTTTTAGTTCCTCCTTTCCAATTTGGATGCCTTTTACTTTTTCTTCCTTTTTTGATCACTGTGGCTAAGATATCCAGTGCTATGTTGAATAAGAGCGGTGAAAGTGGACATCCCTATCTTTTTCCTGTTCTTAGGGGAAATGGATTTAGTTTCTGCCCATTGAGTATGACAGTGATGGCGAACCTTTTGAGCTCGGCGTGTCAGCATTTTGAAAAACCCTAACTTAATTCTGGTGCCGTGTCACATATAGAAATTTTTTGACATTTGCAACCATAGTAAAATAAAGATTTATATTTTTGATATTTATTTTATATATTTAAATGCCATTTAACAAAGAAAAATCAACCAAAGAAATGAGTTCACGTGTCACCTCTGACACGCATGTCATCGGTTTGTCATCACTGGAGTATGATGTTCACTGTAGGTTTGTCGTATATGGCCTTTATTATGTTGAAGTATAATCGCTCTATTCCCACTTGGCTGAGAGTTTTTATCAAAAATGGGCCCTAGCTGGTTTTGCTCAGTGGATAGAGCGTTGGCCAGTGGACTGAAGGGTCCCAGGTTCAATTCTGGTCAAGGGCACATGTCCAGTTTGTGGGCTCGATCCCCAGTGGGGGGTGTGCGGCAGTTGGCAATCAGTGATTCTCATCATTGATGTTTCTATTTCTCTCTCCCTCTCCTTGTATTTTCTTACCATCTTTTGTATTTCTGAGGTGTCAGTTGTTATTACACCCTTTTCATTTCTAATTTTATTGATTTGGGTCTTCTCTCTCTGTTTCTTGATGAGTCTGGCTAAAGATTCATCAATCTTGTTTATCCTTTCAAAGAACCAGCTCTTGGTTTCATTGATCTTTTGTATTTTTTTTTTTTAGTCTCTGTGTCATATTTCCACTCTGATCTTTATCATTTCCTTCCTTTTATTTCCTCTGGGCTTTTCTTATTGGTCTTTTCCTAATTCTTTAAGTTATGGTGTTAGATAGTTTATTGAAAATTTTTCTTGTTTTATGAGGTAGGCTTGTAGTACTATGAATTTCCCTCTCAGGATTGCTTTCACTGTGTCTCATAGATTTTGGGTTGTTTGTATTCATTTTTGTTTCCAAGAAGTTTTTGTTTCTTCCTTGATCTCATTGGTAACCCATTCATTGTTTAATACAATGTGATTTAGCCTCCATGTGTTTGAATTATTCTTTTATTTTTTAGTTCGTGTCTTTTATTAACCCAAATACAATTACTTGTCTTCTGGTTTGTTGAAGCAATAGGTCAGACAACATTTACCACAATAATGTCTGTCAAAGTGGCTGGCCATAAAAACTCCAGCACCACATTCATCTGAAGGGCACTCCTGACGAAGGCGACTGATTTTGCCATTCTCATCCGCTTTGTAGTGTTTCAGGACAGCCAGCTTAACCTTCTTTCTCTTATGCTTGTTCTTCTTGGGAGTGGTGTAAGACTTCTTCTTCCTTTTCTTGGCACCACCACAACATCTCAACACAAGATGAAGCGTGGACTCCTTTTGAATGTTGTAGTCAGACAAAGTACTCCCATCTTCCAGTTGCTTGCCAGCAAAGATCAGTCTTTGCTGATCAGGAGGAATTCCTTCCTTATCCTGGATCTTGGCCTTTACATTTTCTATCATATCCGAGAGTTCAAGACCTTGAGAGTGATGGTCTTCCCCGTGAGGGTTTTCACAAAAATCTGCATCTTGGCGGTGACTCCATCTGAGGTGGAGGAGAAGGAAGAGACGGGTTACACCTGGGGACACAAGAGGGGAAGGCCGGTAGGCCGTCAGCCAGGAAGCGGATGAGAAGCACACATGTTTGAATATTTTTGAGTTGATTTCTAATTTCATGCCCCTGTGATCTGAGAAGATGCTTGATATGATTTCCACCTTCTTGAACTTGTAGAGACTTGTTTTGTGTCCTAACATGTGGAATATGCATTTTGAGAAAAATGTATATTCTGCAGCTTTGGGGTGAAATGTTCTGTTAATGTCAATTAAATCCATCTGATCTAGTGTGTTATTTAGAGTCACTGTTTCCTTGTTGATTTTTTGTCTGGATGATATATCCAGTGAAGTTAGTGGGTTGTTAAAGTCCCCTACTATGGCTGCATTGCTGTCAATCTCTCCCTTAAAGTACTCCAGATAGTGTTTTATACACACACACACACACACACATTTATTTAGGTGCTTCTATATTGGGTGCATATATGTTTACCAGGTTTATGTCTTGTATCAATCCCCTTAGTATTATGTAGTGACCTTTATTATCTGTTGTGATGGTCTTCATTTTTAAGTCTATTTTGTCAGATATGAGTATTGCTACCCCAGCTTTTTTGTTTGTT